GATTCGGGGTAGAATGACCTTAGAATTGTCTAAGTCTCCAGGTTTTTAATATTTCTTGAATTTTTCTTGTTCACAGTTTCGTGATTCAACTCAAACTAGCTCGAGTTAGGCTGATGAGTCTTGACTCGAACCCCGGGACGAGCCTTAGCCCAAGCACGCTCGAGTTAGGCCGCTGAGTCTTGACTCGAACCCCGGGACGAGCCTTAGCCCAAGCACGAAGTTTTTATGACATTGGTTAGGACAAAAACGAACGAACATCACTTTCACCCCAAAGCGAATCACAATTGTTTTTCAATAGATATGTGTGTACAAATGTAGCTTTCAAAGAATAATGACATGTCCTAAAGGGAGGGGCATAATTGTCACATTTCTAATGTTATGCATGGATAATTTTGCCACACTGGTGTGCCATCTATCCATGGAGGGGATGCCTCCTTTGTCCTTACTCATGGAGGGAGACTTCCCTCCCTAAAGGAGGAAATATGCTTTCTTTCTCACTCAAGAAAAGAAAGAGCAATTCCCTGTTATTATTAATGAACAGTACTGAAAACTACTAAACAATGACATTTTATCTTTGTAGTTGAAAAATATAGCGACTTTGAAAAATCACGACCCCCCTTGTTGTACTATAAAATCATTTATTTTTGTATAAAGAGGTCACAATTATCTAATATCTTTAGATTGTAAGATTCGACAGTTGAGAGTTCAAAAAAATTGTCATGAACTTTAAGCCCGATCAATGGCACATTTATCACTGTTCAAATTTACATTCAATAGCTTAAAGTGATTATGACATACTTGCTCCTGTATCAAAAGTAAATGATCTCATGTACTTCTCTATTTATATATACTAGAGGAAGGATCCATCTATTTCTTAAATATTAGGAGAAGTGATGAGTGCATGTCAATTTATATTATCTGAAGATCTCAAGAAAGTTCTTGAAGTAAACAATACATGTATTCAAAATTTTATAATTGAGATTTTGGTGTTATTTGACACTCGATCTCTTACGTTGATTTCTCTATGGTTCTAGCCCTTGCACCATTTGGCACCTTATGAACCGTCCGATCTTGTGGCTCAGACTCAACCGTTAATGGAAATTGTTTTCAATGGAGACTTTTGACTGGTTTGTTTAACGATAAGAAAGCTCAAACTTGTTCTGAAAATATTTTTCTGGTTAATTTAATAAAAAGGAAAGCTCAAACTTGTTCTTCTCTTTGGAATATATTATAGCCAGACCAAAGAGGGGTATCTTGGAAATCTGAATTTAATAAAGTGGCCTCCAAAGTAAGCTAACCTTGTTTCAATATTAAATTTTAGAGCCCATACATGGCACTCCCACGAGACCATGCTGTATCTTACTCCCTCTCCGGCCAAAAGATGGACCATGGAGGATTTTAAAGATTTTCTTACCTAAGATTTGGATGGCCTTCTCCCTCCCACATGCTATTTCAAGCTCAACATCGGTCGCTCATCCATTTATAATCTTGGTGCAATTGGGTGTGGGGTGATCATCAGAAATGACACATGCGGTTTTTTTGTGGCTTTTGCAGTTCGCCTGGTACCACATCTAACAATATAGCTGCGTTCCATGTTCTGGATTGGGGCATTTCTTTGGCATATAAACTTGATTGTAAATCATTAATCATCGAGAGCGATTCCAAAATGCTTGTTAAATCCCTAACCCGGTATGGTAGAACCCCATGGAAGCTTTGTATAATATTGCCCAATTGCATGGCCAAGCTTTCATCCTTTGCAAATCATCCGGGGTAGCTTTTTCAATATTTTTGGAAAAAAGGCGACCTCACAAGTAGAAGCAATAGTATGGCGGGCCTGGCCCCAGATTTTGTAACTTATTCTGCATGACACTGCTAACATTTCTTATGTAAAGGTTGTTAAATGATTGTACATGTAATATCTTTCTTTGATTAATAATAAAAACATGTAGGGGTTCACTATCCAAGAACCAAGAAACAAAAATCTCATCAAGTTGGAACCTGTTTTTTAGAACCCATTATCCGAATCTAGGATCAGGATCGAATCGGTTCTAGAAGGCAGTGGTATCGACCTAGATAACCCCCCAAAACCTCCCTTTTATTTTTATTTTTTTTCTAAAGACTATCCCCACCCAAGAAAAAACACCTCAAACAAACCACTATTTTTTAAGTAATTTTCTAGACCCATCTAATATAGATTTATAAGGTGGACGATACATCCCACAAATCCAAATTTTGAAACACTGGTTAGAACTTAGAACCTAACATTGTTTCCAGTTTCTAAACACTAGTTCTTATTTTCACTAATGTGATTTGAATTCCACAAGGGAAATTATTTGGTCCATCCAAGCCCGCACTTGGTACTATGCAGGTTTAGAGATCTACACCATCCACCAAAATCAGGTCCCGTAATATAATAGTCTAAAGAAAAAGTAAAATCAACCGTTCAAATATTTTCTCTAAACAATGTCATTTCTAGTGTTTAAAACTTATTTATTTCAAAAAATAAGATCAAATTCTAATTTCCTAAAAATTAAGATCAAATTCTATTTCAAAAAATAAATTATTAAAAGCCCACATTTCTACGTGTGAGTCTGTGGACTCATAGAAACCGTATTTTTTTTTTTTTGGGTAAGTCAGTGGGGGAGAAGGCCCCTTATCTGTTTTTCATTAATAAGTAATAAATAGAAAATTTACAACTCATTACCGTAAAACCCTATAATAGGGCACCTATGCCAAATCATGAGTTAAAGCAAGGCAAATAAAATCCGGCGAACAAGAATGCCAAACAATAGCTATTTGATAAGATGTGGTACTCTTTGCAAGAATATCAGTCATCATATTGGCTTCACGAAAGATGTGGAAAATAGACCACCACCACTTAGAGAGATGTTGTCAACAATTTGATGCTACCGTATGTAACTTCCATGGAGATCGCCAGCATTCATAAATAACATTAACAAACAATGCTGAGTCACTTTCAATCTGAATAGGCAGCACTGTAGCGGATCATATAGGATTAATCCTTTTTCAAAAGAGTAAAATTCCACATAATTATTAGAAGCAATTCCAAAAAGTTTGGCAAATGTTGCAATAAAAGCACTATCAGAATTCCTAATAACACCATCCCCTGCTTGGCCTTGGCTATGCAAGGAAGCTCCCATCAATGTTTATCTTGAAGTAATTAAGGCTAGGATATGACCATGCCACTGAAGTAGTAATTTTATCCCTCTGCTGGTACCATTTGAATTGTAAGTTATTGATGATCGCATTTTCTGACAAATGAAATATCTAGGATTTAGCATCAACTAACTCCCGAATATGATAAATAATTTGTCTGGCTAATTGTTCCCCTCTAGTCAACCTATTTTGGAAAACTCTTCGTTTGCGTTCTGTCCATAAGAACCATATAGTTGTGAAGAATAAAGACTTTCAAATATTGAAGAAACCATTTAATTTGAATCTGAATGATAACCATTTTTTTAACATCACAAAAATAGATCTGCCAGAGATGAAGTGCTTACCGTATCGCCAGGCAACCGACTTCCACATAGCCTATGCAAAGTCACAAAAAAATAATAAATAACATGAACTATCTTCACTATTTATACAAAAAAAAGTATACAACAAAAGCCAGAACAATCCCACGCGTTGCTCCAAGTAGAAACCGTGGCCATCTAGTAGAAATACTCTTTTATATTCTGGAATTTATTTGTAAAAAAGTCATGGGGTGACATGCTCAAGTATGAAGAGGAAATTTCCCCTCAAATTTTTCGTGCAATGACAAGATTCACGGTATTTTCGAATACTTTTCCATTTTGAAAGGACGCGTGTCTCTCTATGATTGGCACATACGTCGCAGCGACGAACTAGAGACTTACTCTAACCCGCGTCCTTCGAACCCATTGAAGGCCCTAACCCGAGTCAACTTCTAACCCTAGTTAACTTCTGACACCAATCAGTAAAAAAATTAAAGTGTAAAATGAATGGCTATTAAAATTCTCACCGTCCAATGTGTGCATTGAATAGAAAAAGATCGCATATATCGTGCGCCCTCCGGAGTTTACTTGTGCAGATTTTTTCTATCTTAAATTTTGAGAATTACTTGAGAATGACTCGATGATTAATCTCAATTTTTTTTTAAAAAAAATTTGAATTTCTTAACACTCAAATCTCACCATCCAAAAATTGACAAAACGTATTTGGGAGGAGTTTTTCTTTCTAAAATTTTGAAAACTACTTAGAATAAGTAGATATTTGTTAAAAAAATAAATAAATTCAAATTTGAGTTTTCCAACAAAGATCTCACCATCCAAAATTAGATGGTCTCTAATTATTCTTGTGACATTATTTTTTAAGTATATAGAAGATATAATTAAAATGTATGCAAGTAAGTGTTCTACTTAAAAACAATAGAAATTAACGGTCAACATATTTTCTTATTAGAATTATTATTTTTAATTTTTAAAATTTATTTATTTTTCATATTAATGATCTCCATGTTAGAGATTATATGTCCTAAAAAATGAAGTCCTAAAATCCATTTCAAAAATAGATTTATTGAGAGGTTCACATTTCTACATATGTTGGCTTGGCCGCAAAGAAATTAGGTTCTTATTTGATTGATCGAGCTCAAATTCTAAATTTTTTTTTTTCAATCTTTTGTGACAAGACCAAAACTATCAGCTATGATATACGGATGGTTATAAATAGTTGTGATCATTTTTTAGTTTGTACCATATATAGGTAAATAGTCTTATCATGTATAATTCCATTTAAACTTCCGTAGGTGGGATTATATCCGGGGGAGTAAATGGACATTCTACGTCCGACAGAGTACAATTTTTTCACGAGCAAAAGAAACGTGTAACTGAAAGCACGCTACATAATGTTCTATCTTTGACCGTCAAGTTTATAAAATGAACGGTGATTATTGCATAACGGAAATATTTATTTTTGTCCTGTACTTTGTCGCCTATAAATGGAGCTTCTTCTCCATTTCAAAAGTCTTACATTTTTGCAGGCGTAAAAGGAGGTAAAAAAAAGGGGAAAAAAGAAAAAAGAGGAAAAAGAAACGGACGGCTCTGATTGCTAGTCCTCTGTCGGATGGCGATCGAGAGCTGTTCGATGGAGCTCACGTCGGGTGCGAGTGGTCGAATAATACCAGTGTGTAAGAACATCAAGGATTCCGTACTTTCATGGCGGGCCCTGAACCGCCTGGTTTTGGTTTTCTATTCTCTGTTTCTATGGATTTTTCTTCTTCTTCAGTACAGGAGGCGAAAAGCGGAGAACCTCTCTTCTTCGCCTTTGTCTTCGAAATCCGGCAGTGGGTTTCGAAGAAAAGGGGTTTTCAGAGAACAAGAGGATACTTTGAAGAGAAGGTACCTTGCTGAGAGTTTAATGGTGGGTGGGAATGGAGATGGGGAGGGTTTCTTCTTTGAGGAGAACGCGTCTTTGTTTGTGAATTCGAGGAGGAATGCTCTGTTTTATCGGTCGTGGACTCCTCTTCCTGCTAGTGAGTTGAAGTGAGTTTTTTTCTGTTCTTTTTTTGGGTTTTTATTTTTTATTTTTGCTGGTGCTAAAAAATTTGGGTCATGTTGATAAATTTTTGTTGGTTTTGATTATTTTGTTTTTGCTGCTGCTTTCTGTTCTCTTGTAACGGATTCATAATCCTGCATGCATGTGATACAAACTTAGAATTTGTTTAAAGTTTTTTCATTTTTATGGAAAATTTTGATTGTTTTTTTTCTTCTGTACATTTCTCTGCATTGCCTTGGATCATTTTGTTTTATTTTAAATTTTTAATAGAGTTTTTGCATTTTTCCCGCATGTTTAGTTTTTGAGTTGTTGAGTGAAGTACTTGTTCTTCACCGTGAAGTAAATTTTCATTTTGACCTTCATACTTTGTTGGTTAATTATTACATGTGGTGTTTCTCCCATGATACAAAGTAATTCTTTTTTTTTTGGCCTAGAAAAATTTTTTTTTTTTGCCTTTTTCCGATTCTCTATTGGAGTGATTCGGTCATTATATCTCTATTTGTTCTGAATTTTTTTTTTTTATATTTGGGTTTTTTTTTTTTTTGTTATGTAAGTTTGAGTGAGTTTATTAAATGAGAAGTCAACTGTATATGTGCTAATTTTTGGTTGATTAATCTTGAGTAGATGTTGCTGAAATAATTTTGTTCAAGTTGTAGCAATGTGACGATTTCATGACAATTAGTTTCTCATTGGCGGTCAAAAACCCAGCAATGCTTCAATTTGCAGGAGAATTTGGGATTGTTTAATGGAAAATCTCAGTATATAACTCCAAAATGCTTTTGCAAAAATACAAAAATTGAGGAAAACTTAAAGCTGAAGGAACTGAAAAGAGATACGTATCTTTGATTACTTCGATCTTTTTATCTTTGTCTTCAAATGTATTAACATTCTCATGCAGCAACTCTTCAACCCTTGTTTTCTTTTGCTGCCATTTTCATTTTTATTGTTTTCTTGTTATTTTTTATTAAATCCGAATAATCAACGTCTCCTCATTTTCCTTTCTTTGAGGGTTCCCAGCTTGCCAGGCCCCTTCCATAGCAGTGTTAACTAATGTGGGTACATTCCACAAGAGTTAGTCGGACTTGGCAGGGTGCCAAGCCTATAAGGAATGGCCATACTCTGTTAGTTCCTATATTGTAATACTATTTTCTGTCTAGACTCAGTTGAGTCATAGTGACTCAACCTAGTCTCTTTGGGCAACTCAAACTCAGGAACCCTTCCAATTCCTGAGTCTGAGCCGTCTTCAAAACATTGTTCCTTGGTGTCGCTTATGTTTATGAATTGCACTTTTTGGATTACTTTATGCGTTATATGTAATGGTGCTTTTGTCATTTGGCTTAAGGAAGTTCTATTACTTCCATACTAAATTCATCCTTTTTGATGCAAATGACGATGGCATTTCTTGAGATTTGGGAGAAAACATTAAAAGAAAAAGAAGAAAAAAAACTGAGGAGCAATGCCATTTGTGTTTGAAAATACGTAACATGCTCCAATCTTCATATTCTATCAAAGCAAGGCTACCTGCTTCCAGTTGGTTTATTTGAGCATGTGAATGTAGTAAATCGTCTCCTTTGTCACCTTTCCAGTAGATCCCCTCCATAAAATTTCCTAATCTCATGGGGCTTGTTTGTCTATGATGGAAAGATTAAATTTTTTGTATTATAGCTATTCTCATTTAATGGCCTTGGAAAGGTGTAGCCACTTCAAACTTCCTTTGTGGTAAAATATATTGGTTCGATCTTTAAAGCCAACAGTTAACAGATATTAAGTTTCACATCTACCGTGTACACAAAAGTAATCATAACTTGTGTTTGGAGGGCATTGAAAGGCTCATTTTGCCAAGAGGAACATAAGGATGATCTAGCAAATCTGTCTTCCTTTTTGAGAAGTCCCAAGCGGACCAACTTTACTGGCTAATAGGCTCAAGTTAGTTTTATCATGGTCTTGATTAAGTGATAAATGCAAGTCTTTCTAGGATTCATTTATATATTATTAGTTTAAGGTGAATCCAATCAAGCATGTTTAAGTCAAGTCCTTGAGTTTTGACTCTATGGCTTACAGTGTTCCTGAGTAATAAGTTTGTCCATACAATTCACTGTTATCGCTTTCCAAAAGCCTTGATATCTGACATAGCCACTCTGTTCTGAAATAAAGTTGTTTGGAATTTTGGCTGTATTGTGAAAAGTTTTGGGCAGGCTTTTATCTCTGATAACATCTTCTTGGTTCAAGCTCTGATGCTGTCAAACACTCTGTGTTTGTTTCTGAAATTCAAAGTCTAATGTTTTATGCTGGATGTGATTGTAAATAACAATGTGATTTTCCACTGTTTTGGCTACTTCTACCATTAACCGATGATTTATCTGTTTGGGCTACTTCTATCATATGATATTTTATTCGTTATCATGTTTTCTTAACTTTATTTGACCTCTCACAATATTCTCTTATGAATCAGGGGGATTCTGATCCTTATTCATGGGCTTAATGAACATAGGTAAGTGAAGTTGTGCTATCTTGCATCTTTCTTGTTTGTTATGCTTACTTTTCAATGTAGAATGACTTTGCAGTTTTTGTTTTGTTGGTTGCATCCAGTGGTCGATATGGACATTTTGCTACGCAACTAACTGCATGCAACTTTGGAGTCTATGCATTGGATTGGATAGGTACATTTTCCATCCTATAGCTTCAATTCACCTGCAAACTACAACTATATGTCTATATTCATTTAGAGCCCCTTTTGATATGGAGATTGGTATTATATGTATTCTATTTCTATTTCTATTCCAGAAATTGCACATGCTTTTAAATAATTTTCGCTGGTTAAATGACACTTTCTTGCTACTACTTGGACTCTTTTGGTGGATTGGTGATATAATATATGTGTGCTAAATCACTAGAGAGCACTGTTTATCGTATATGTTTTTTATTTGAGCATGGCAAGTATTTTGAAACACTTGGGAAAACACGTAATTATTGACCCTTAATCCCATTTGGTGATTGTCGAAAATATCCTTTGAGGATTTATCATTTCGGCAGGTAATCACCTATTGTAAGCAGCATCAGGTGATACATGACTGACTCACCAACTTTGGAAATCAAGTGATTCCTTCTAAGAAGTAATTATACCTCTGCAATCTATTTCAGGTCATGGTGGGAGTGATGGGTTACATGGATATGTACCTTCTCTTGATCATGTTGTTGCTGATACTGTAAGTTTCCTTAACAGAAAACAAAAAGGAAAAAAACATGTCAAAAACTTGTTTATTTGGCATGAGTTTGTTGCCAATATGTCTCTTTCTTGATCATGTTGTTGCAAAATGCACATGGTGAGGTTTTACTTGGCAAGTCTGCAAATCGACCACAAATATGCCAATTGACCACCATATTGTTATTATACAGAGTGCGTTTTTGGAGAAAGTTAGATTGGAAAACCCTGGTATACCGTGTTTCCTGTTTGGGCACTCGACTGGGGGAGCGGTGGTTTTGAAGGTACAAACCTGAATATTGAGTTTTTTCTTCGAGCTATTTCATATTCAACTAATTCAAGTAATCGCAAATCATGTAAAATTTTAAGGAAGTTTTTTCTTGTTCCTAGGCGGCTTCTTATCCTGCTATTGAGGCCATGCTTGAAGGAATAGTTTTGACTTCGCCTGCCCTGCGTGTGAATCCTGCACATCCCATTGTCAAGGTGCATTTTTCCCTTCTTGCATTTTCCTTTCAATAACAGAGGCCTGAGACTTTTAACAGACCAAGCACTTTCATAATAAATAATGCTTGGGTGAAACGACTGATAATTATTCCGAATGGGTTTTAAGATTAAAATCCTTACTAATGACTTGATTAGTTGAGTGAAGCAGTATTGTTTCTTGATAAGGTTTTATCATATACTATGGGTGGACCATAGTTAGCAATGCTCTGTTTAAAACCCATAGTTTTCAAAAACAACTGTTATACTGAGGATTCTTTTAAAATACAGGTTTTTCAAAAGGAAAAAGTTTATATAAGGCTGCAACCTTAAAATGTAGAACTAAAGATGCACCTCAAAAATCCATCGAAAAAGGTTATTTTAATGTTGAAAACGATCTAATTGATCATCTCGACATCAAGATGTATGAATACATATAAAAAAAATGATTTGAGTTCCAGAAATAGTGCATCTTACAACACATCATCTAGACCGTCAATTTTCAAGATTTTCACATGTTTATAGATTTACTTGATGTTAACTATTTTTGGAGTTTGAGATTTTATAATTAGATATGAAAATAGATTTTCAGATAATCCTCAGATTTTTTTACATCAAATTTACATGTTAAAATAAAATTTGGTTTAATTGGATTGTTTAAGGTTGCAACCTTATAGAAACCACACCCTTTTCAAAATGACTTAAAAATGCTCATTCTTGTCAAGAAAATGAAACATAGCTCTGTTATATTATCTAATAAAAATACTGAAAAAATCTTACTTAAAGATGAATTTGAAGTTATGCCACAGTTTTCAATAATCAAGAGTCACCAATCAAGCCCATCCTCAAATTCCTATCACTTGCTTTCTTCGCTCCTGCATTTGATCCTCCAAAGCCCTGTCACAGGATGGTAGTCATACTTTACCACTTTAAGCTTCATGAATTTCAGTTTCTGGAATGAGTTTGTTTGTTAAACATGACAAGTTCTACCAACTTCCTTTCCCTTGAGACTATGTAGACTTGTGAGAAAGTAACACACGCACCCACTGGGTGGCACAACATCGTCCACACACTATATGGCTAAGGCAATGGAAATAGGTTATAAATAGGACGTTGGGTTAGAGTTTGAGGCACCACGAAGTAAAGAGAGAAGTGAGAGTAATAAATGTACAAGTGAAATGTTATATGCATGTCGCTTATGACTATTTGCATGAATCCCCACAAGTGGTACTAGAGCTGGAAAACATGACAAATAGTATCAAAGCTTTTATACCACTCAACAGGAATTCTTGGGCACAGACATATTGGTCAGAATTCCTGTGAACATTAGCATATTATACTACTCTCGAGAGACACGGATGTAAGATTTTTCTTATACATTTATTCTCATTCATTACAACACAAGCATTATGTCATTCATTCCACTCATCTAATTCATTTCTTGTTAACGTCATTAATTACCATACTGATTACACTTTATTAATTATCTCTCACACACCATTTCCATACACTCTTCTAATATTTTCTTGCTCTATACTCTTTTACGCACACTGTATTTCAGCGCGTTATACTACACTTAAAGACACTCTCATTAAATTCTTCATGTCTTTGGTACTCTCCACCTTTGTCAATTATCTTCTACTTCTCGATGCCTAAAACTCCAGTCAAACCTAATATTTACAGCTGACATGCACCACCTTAACTTCTAATATGCGGACAATACCTAGCCACCTAATAGATGTATGTATCTATTTCTCATGTGTCCACATAGTCCTTCAAGGAAAAAGGTCGGTGTAGAAGGTTCAAGATAGGTAGAGCGGGGGAAAGCCATGTGTTGGCTTCTACAATTAGTCTCAGACGTGGTACAATCCATTGACTCCACCAAGAAGGTCCTTTAGCCCATGGAAAGCTGGTGTCTATCAGCCAGTGACACTTGAGGCAAGCTCCAATGCCAATTAGAAAAGGTCATTGAAGAATCACAACTATGGTATTCAACCAAGGTAAGGAGACCAAATCCCAAATTTGTGGACAATGAAGTGGCGGAGGTAGATGGTATATGAGAATTAGGCTCATATGAAGAGGCACCAAAGTGCAGAATGGTAGTAGAAGGCAATGGAAGAGATCTCAACACTAGAAAAGAACTAGATGTCATACTTGGTTCCTAGGCTGAAGGGTGTAAATCCTATCTCATGTTGATGGTTGTACAAAGTAAATCCTATCTCATGTTGATGGATGTTAAGAATGCTTTTCTTCACGGAGAGGTCGATCGAGACATGTATATGGAGTGGCCGAAGGGATCGAGCCAATAACTTCTTTAAGCTAAGAAAGGCCCACTATGGGCTAAAGTAGGCACTGAGGGCCTAGTACGGCAAAATTGTTGAGCTCTTGCTACAGAATGGACACTCAGCCGCACCCGTCGACTCTAGTTTTATTTGTAGAAGTCAGAAATAGTCGACTATCCATCACACTTGTTTATGTTGCTGACTTGATATTATCAGAAGGGATGATGTTGAGGAAAGTGATTGCATAAATAAGAACCTGTTGGTAAAATTTCAGATTAAGGAGCTTAGAGAGCTCAAATATTTTTTGGGACTTCAAATTGATAGAGTTTAGGAAGGTATGTTCTTGTTTCAGTAGAAGTACCACAATAAACCTACTCCAGAAGTATGATATGGTCAACTACAAGCCCATATCAATACCTATGGAGGCAAATATGAGGCTATGTGCAAATGAAGGGGACAAACACAGATTCATCCATGTACAACACATTGTTTGCAGTTTGATCTACTTAATAATGACACCGTTTGACATGTCACATGCTGTTGGAGTAGTTAGCTAATACATGCCGAATCTGAGGAAACCTCATCTAGACGATGCCTGTAGAATCCTGTGTTACATTAAAGGTACTATAGACTATGATATATTGTACAAAAAGGGTAGATGCGAGTTGGCGTAGATAGTGCGACACAGTTTTTGCTAGTCGTCGAACCAGTGTTATCAGGATCTGATGGGCCACCAAACCGGTGAGAGGTCTAGTCCAGTCAAAACCGGTTCAACTACCGTTCGAATTGATTAAACCGGGTTTCAGAAAAAAAAGAAGAAAATGTATAGTAGTTTAAAAACATAAAGTACATTCCTTAAAAAATGCTCAATTTTGTTTAACTAGTCTTATCAGTCAAAACTGGTTAGCTCGACTGGCCAAAACCAGTCAAATATTAGTTTTGGCCGGTTTATGATCAAATTTGGTTTTTGCTTTAGAATTGACCGAGGAAGGTACTGGTTGGCTGTTCGACTGGTCGGACCAAGCGGTCCGGTCTGATCTTGATAACTATGCGGCACACTACTCGCCAAGCCACCTTTTGATATTATTTCATCCTTGAATCAGCAATAGCCTATTGATGTTTGAGAGACATCTGTCTCCCTGTCGACCATCGACGCATAATACATATTTGTAGCAATTGCTGCCCAAGAATTCATCTGGTTGACATTTTAGAGATTTAGCATCAACAACTAGAGAAAACAGTGCCACTATTTTGTGACAACTTATCAACCATTCAATTGGTTGAGAATCTTGTCTTTCATGCAAGGACGAAACATAAAGTATATCATCATTACATCTGAGTAAAGGCCCTACATGAAGAAATCACATTGGCACCAATCAAGATTGAGGAACAAGTTGTCAATATATTTACAAAAGGACTTACTGTTGCAAAATTTGTTGGATATAGAAAGACTTGGCATCATAAGAAGATCAACTATCAAGGAAAGCTATGTTGAGGTGGAGATTTTAGAAGCAAACACATGGCTTCTAAAATCTTTCAAGCCACCTTTCCTTACTACAGTGGACTTATGAGAAAGTGACACACAGTCATACACACCCACTTAAACTAAATATCTAAGCTGGTGGAAGTAAAAGGAGGTTCAATTGGAATTTTACACATTGAGAGGTACGAAAGAAGTGATGAATGAAGTGTGAGAGAGAGAGGGGAGGTTCTATTGGAGTTTTAGACATTGAGAAGTATGAGAGAAATGATGAATGTAGTGAGAGAGTCAGGGTGTCATTAGAGCTTAGTTATCAAGATTGGACCGCACCACTTGAACCGGCTTGTCGAATTTCCATTTGGTGTTTTTGTCGGTCTAGTCTAAAATAAAAATCAGATTTGGTTGAAAACCGGTCAAAACCAATATTTGACTGGTTTTGGCTGGTCGGACTAATCAGTTTTGACTGGTCATACTATTTAAACAAAGTCGAGCATTTTTTTGGAATGTACTTTATGTTTGTGAACTATTATACATAATTTTCTTTATTTTTGAAATTCTGGTCCAATCGACTGAAATGACGGTTGAACCAGTTTTGATTGGACCAGACCTCTCACCGTTTTTGTGGCTGGTCTGATCCGGATAACACTAGTGTAGAGCGTGCAATAGGGAGTAGTGTGAGAATGAGATAAGAGTGGTAGGGAGTAATGTGACTGAGAGTGTGTAATTAATGAAGTGTAATGAGTAAATGTATTTAATGTGTAACAAGTAATGTATTTAATGAGTGCAAGGAGTGTGCAATGATCATAATGAATAAGAAAAAACACAGGAATTCCATCAAGTGGTATCAGAGTTGACAAATCTGACATGCATGGTTATTTTGAGGAATGTTAAAATAAAGGACGTGTTTTTGGTGAATTAGCCAACTCACCAATTTTGCTGTGTTCCCTTATGCATCAAACGTTCGTCTCTATGATGGACGTCGAAAGTTGGAGCCTCCACCAAAAGTTAAAATGAATGGTGGAAAACGAAGTTTAAAAAAACACCATTTTTAGAGATTCATGATCATTATTATGGTTGATATTAGCAACCACTAAAATTAAAATCCAAAATCCTTCTTTAAGATAGACTTTGGAGGTGGGATGCGCATGATTTGGTGAGTTGGCTGACTTCTTTTCCTAAATTGAAAGTGTGGTTAACTTTGAGGGACTATCAAGCTCACAAGTTGGTGTGTTCAAAGATGGATAATTCTGTGGTGTGTTTGGAGAGAGAGAGAGTACTCGTTCTTAATCTCGCTAGAGCTCTCTTTTGCACAGAGAGGGTACTCATTCTTAGTCTCACCAGAGCTCTCCTTTGCACATGCAATTGCACCAGTCTTCTCTAGAGAGAGGAGGGAGGGAGGGAGGGCGAGGACTCATTCTTAATCTCACTTGAGCTCTCTTTTACACAGGCATTGGCACCCGTCTTTTCTCTCATTCACCCCACGCTCCAATTCAAGGGAGCCAACAAAAGAGGCATCCCGGTTTCTCGAGACCCAGCCGCTCTCGTGGCCAAATACACGGACCCCCTTGTTTACACAGGCCCCATAAGGGTGCGAACGGGTCATGAAATCCTTCGCATCTGTAACTACCTTCAACGAAACATGGCAGCCATTACAGTGCCATTCTTAGTTCTTCATGGAACAGCTGACAAGGTAACTGACCCCCTCGCCTCACAAGACTTGTACAAATTTGCTTCTTCTAAACACAAAGACATCAAACTTTATGAAGGCTTCCTCCATGACCTGCTCTTTGAGCCTGAAAGGGATGAGATTGCAAGGGATATCATGGACTGGTTAGAGATGAGGCTTGAGTCTAAATAAGTGTCACAGGGGTGTTGTTTTAAAATTTTATTAGATTTCTTTGGTCTAGGAGTTGGGGTCCCCAAACTTGGGACAAATGAGGTGGTATGCTGGGTTGGGTGAATGGTGGGGATGTTGTGTTTTTCGTTGATTGGATTCAATGAACGGTGGAGATGTGATGGGTGGTGTTTACGTATGGTAAATATTAGCTTTCAGTTGTAAAGATGAATATATTAAAAGAAAAAGAGAGAAAAGCAAACAGAAGCCAAGTCTGGTTTCATTGTTTGGTCTGAATGTGTAATGTGGGTTAAGCACCCTTGCTGGTTGGCTCTGCCCTTTGTATTGAACATTGGTTTAATATATCATATTTCTGAAGATGGATTGGGAATGTTCTCTCTCTCGATAATGCTACAGTATTTTGCCACCGCTACGGACTTGTTATGTCTATAGCGGTTTATTGAACGGATGCAACAGATAGTGCGTCTACTGTTACAGTTTCCTATGATTTTTTTACTATCATGGACCTAATATGTCTGTGATGGTACCGCTATGGATATGCTAGGTCCGTGACGGTTAAAAAACACACGCCGTTTGATTTTCTCGGACAGTGATGCGCCTATGGACAAAAATACTATTCATTTTTCGTCCAGGCCTTGCATAGATGCTTCCATATATATATATATATATATATATATATATATATATTCTCCAAAAATACTATATATTGTAACAAATTATCTAGATTGTCAATTTCACCCTAAAAATAAGTATTCACAAATCTGCAAGTATATGTACCATTATTTTAATTTCAAATTTCATTGTGAGTATTGGAAATTGATTTTAGAGCCATGGAAATTTTTTTAGCTGGAAATTCTTTCTGGACGAGGATTTGAGACGACATTTTATTTTTTTATCATAAAGCCTAGGTCCAATAGAAACCTCATGCATAAAAAAAATGGAGTAGACATGAACAAAGGATACCTTGGAATTTATATTTCTCTTTAGACAGGTATGAGAGCAATAAGGATCGGATCAATTGGCAAACGCTTTAGCTTATTCATTGTGCATCATTCGAGCTTAGATACTGTAATTCTTGTTTCTTTATTCTTTTTGACTAACTCTTTTGACCGCTTGCATTTTGGACAAGTAGGGAGGAAGTTTGTGCACAATTTGAAATTAGCAATCAGGGTTGCAATGGGATGGGCAGCCTGGTTATGAAAATTCTTGGTTTGGGCCACAAAATATGACTTGAGGATTGAGTAGGGGCGAGAAAGACGAGGGCGTAAAAAAATTAAAAAATATAAAGTAATAATTCCAATTTTAGTATATAATATTATAGTTGGTTACATTGTGATAATTTTGAATGATGGACTCTATTCCTCACATGAAACTTAAAATCGTTCCTTCTTGCCAAACAATCCCCGATCTTATTCTCAGTCGCCAGGGCTTTTAGTATTTTTTTTAATCATGTTTAATGCGATATCATTATATTCACAATTTGGGGTTTTAGTATTTTTTGAATCATGTTTAATGCAATATAATTATATTATATTATAATTATTAATTATATAGACATCCAAACAGGAAACAACGTCTCAATATTCATGTACTTTTACAAAATAACAAGAGTACATAATGTAACAATTTTAATTTTTTTTAAACTAAAAAAACACTATTTTTAGAGATTTTTAGTGAATTTTTGAAATATTTTTGAAGCCAAAACTGACCGATTCAGTCAATTCTCTGGTCCAAATCGCGATCCGACACGGTTTTTGAATAGCTGATCTGGGTGATCGATCCGTTTTTTTAAACCTTAGTATAGACTGATGCCTTATTTGGCTTCATGTGCAGGAAAACTCGTTTAGATTCATATCTTGGATGTAGAATACAAGGTTGTGGACATCCTAATTACCAAGACAACCGTTCTGTGTAGCTTTTGGATGAAATATAGGCTACACAAATCCTATTCTTTTAGTCATGGGAAAATTCTAAGATGGCTCTAAATTCAATTTCTACCACTAATTATTAAATTTGTAGCTCAAAAAAGGGTAAAGATCTAGCAGAACCAATTGAAAATGGACGGTCTAGATTATGTGTTATATTATGTATTATTTTTAGAACTTAAAATCGTAATGTTTTTTCGTCAAGGTCAAGATGATCGATTAGTAGGCTTTTCGACACCAGAACTGCAATTTTTCGTGAGTTATGAGGTGAGGCTTTATTATTTTGGATGGGGTATAGTCCTATGAAAACATTTTTCTTTTTTTTATTTATGTTTTAATATTTCATACTCTAATAACAGCAGCAGCATATGAAAGAGTAGAAATCAACCAAATCCACTCATAATCCCCATGAATCGGGCTTGGGCTTAAGTGGTTGGCACTTAGACTCTATCTCAAGTTCGATTTCTAACTTTGAACTACCCCTAAAAAAAAAAAAAAAAAAAATGGAACGGTCATCATCCCCACCAATTTTCAAACTCAATGCCTGAAAATTTTTCATAATCACTACGACATCAACGATCAAAACAAAACAAAAAAAAGTTTATTGGAACCAAGGAATTCACACAATTATTAGAAACTATTGAAAATGATTACTATGACCCACCTAAGAGCCCTAACCAAAAAACTAAGTATACCCCTACATGTTCAGGTTGAGTCAAATTAAACAACCATTTATCGTTCAATGTTCCTAGTTTTGAATGCGGACAATTAAACATTTTTTGCGATATTTTTTGAAGATGTACTTAATTGAAAATGAAAAGTTGATATTCTACTATTAATTATGGCTTTTTTACTTCGTTAATGATTTTATATATTGTAAAAGTAACATATGTGTGAGGATGCAATTTTATATTTTCTTTTCCCAAGGTATTAACATCCATCTTTAAGATGGATGCAAAGTTGCAGTCCCTCCTAAAAGAATAAAATCTAACCGTTAAAAAAGTTTCTCCAAAAAACTATTTTTTTTAGTTTTTATTTTTATTTTATTTTTACATATTAATGATCTCCATGTTAGGGATTACATATAATCTGAAAAAATAGGTCCAAAGTCTATATAAAAAATAGATAAAAAAAAGGGACTGTATCTTTACATATGAAACATTGTCCTTATGTAAAGATAATTTCCAAAATAAATAAATCTAACAAAAATAGTCCCCCAAAAAATAATTTAACTACAAATAAAAATTACGTAAGTTTTTTAAATTTTTTGAAATTCGGAAAATTTTGAAAAGGAAACGATACTTAAGAGGCAAAATATCCAAAATTTAGTGATTATAGCCATTTCTAATATCGTTTCAAAATATTAAAACTTTAAAGAAATCTCTGCAATCGGATCATAAAACACCTTTTCCACTTGCTAAAATGATGCTATAATCATCGAATGAAAACGAGAGAGAGAGAGTAAAATTAGACTACAGGTAAATTTCAATAAAAAAAAAACAAGCTGAAGAAAATTAGAAGAAGATTGAAAATTCCAAGTTCCAAACCACCTCCTAAAAAATACTTAATTTGTATCATTTAAATTAAGTAAAAATTGATTGGAATGGTTTGGGTTCTCTTTTGACATTTGGGTTTTTTCTTGAATGGATTGGTTTGATGCAAGTAAAAATTAAGTCATCGATATTATGATTATGATAGGGAGAAAGACTGTCCGGATTTAATAAAGGAAACTGTATGAGAATTTCGTCTCAGAACTATTTGACAATGAAGTGATAGTGAGATCACCTCATTTTCCCTCTTTCCTGTTTCCTGAAATCTACTGTCATTTCACGAGCTGACACAAATTGGGTACAGATCCATCTCAAATTTACACTTGTCATTTCTAGTAAAAAACAATAATTACAAAAAAAAACTACATACAGACCTGAAAAAAAAGTAAAAAAGAAAAAAAGACAAAAAAGATACTGCATGATATTCATATTTTGAAGTATTTTAGGCCGCCTTTTTTATTTTTTTGGCCCATGTTTGATATTTGCAATATCATATCGATTTTTTATTTTATTTTATTTTGGTTTGTAGAAATTAGTATGATGTTTTGAATATCGGACAGCCCTATAATGACCAGTTTGATATATGGAACAATATACCGTCAGGCCTACGAACGTTTTGAGCAGTATGATATTCCAAACATTGGACTAACATATTTTAAGGAGTCCGACATTTAAAATATAGGATTGCGCGACATTTGAACGTTCTAAGTAGGCCTATCAATCCGATGTTACAAAAAGTCAGATAGCTAAAAACTTAAAAAAATCTTGAAGTCTAGAGAGGTCTAATGTTAAAAATATTAAATGCCAAATTCAAGTTCAAGGCAAATTGATGTTAGGTATGTCAGACTGACCGCTAAAATACTTCAACCCAGTGTACAACCCTCCAGAACACTCAGAAAAAAAATAACAAACATCGAATTGGAAGAAAAAATTGAAAAAAATAAAAAAAAGGCACTTCGTTGGATCTCGGCATAAAATACTTTAAAATATGGATCATTCCTTAGCAGTAAAAGAGTGAATTACGTATGGGCACAAAAAAAACTAAAATATTGAATGAGTCAATTTTGTGTTAAAATTAGACGAAAGTTTGGTCAACCTGAGGCTTTTTTATTTTTTCAAAATATGCCGTAAGTTCGAGGATAACATCCTGGTACTGCATTTTATAAATATATTTTTTAGTCTTTTTGATAGTAGGGTTGCGTCCTAATGTTTGGGGCATAGCCCAATCATTCCGATGTTAGCATTATTTGACTGCCTTTTGTGGTGCTCTTCAAAGCCATCCAAAGTTGTCATCCTCGGACCGCAAAGATTGATTTTGTTAAGCATTCAGAGGTGGTTCGAGCTGCCCATTCTTGGACCGCTTTCTCTTGTGCTCTTTAGGGTGGGCCGTGGTTGGCATGCTCAGACCACATTAGCTCATTTGTTTGCCAAAAAATAAGGCAATCTAAGGATACCAACCTAAGACTGCCTTTTGGATTGGGCACACCCCTCACACAAGTCATTGACCTATTGACAAAAAGAATAACAAAAAAAAAAAATAGTGGTTCGGAGATAGCATCCTCCAACCAAGGAGCAATTTTGGAAAAAAAAAATTGATCGATATTCCGTGCAATTTTCCCCCGAAATTGATCCATTTCTCATTTTCTTATTTTTTTTGTCGTCACATAAATTACTAAAAGTAAAATTTCAAAGCCAAACTTGCCATCTACGGTTGCAGTTGCATCCAAAATGAACCATGTTTAGTTGAAGCAACGGTTCGCACGTGTGGCACCTTCAATGGAGCTCCCAAGTTGCAGAGAAACACATAAAGAAGTGATTCATCTCATTCCTTTTCTCTTTAAAGAAGAAATAAAAGTAATTTCATGATGAGTGTGAATAGTCACAGAGGAGATAGACAAGGTCGAGAGGAGGCACTCGTGAATCGAACCCAAGGCAATGGCTTAGGGGCGACAAGGCTTTCAGCCATTCCTTTTTTTTTCTCTCTCTAAACGTACTAAAGTCCTGATGAGAGAGAGAGAGTGGATGGCTCTCGTGAAGCCTAAAAGTAGAGAAGCTCGTGGCCTTCTTCTTTTTCTTCTCTTTGTTATGTGAATGATAACTGTCTTCCTCTCTCTCTCTTCCAAAAATGGCATTAGATCACAATAATTGTGACTTGCTAAGGTAGAAAACACACTCTCTCTCTACATGTATGGAGAAAAATAGGTGAGTGATTCCATGCCACAGAGTTAAAAGAAAAAAAATATAATAACATGATATTAAAAATATAGGTTAGAAACATTTGTTCGACTTCAAAATTTAAATATAGAATGAATAATTACCAAAAGGTAAAGTTTTAAAATATACTCTAGATATTGTTTTTCTAGCCCAATTAATAAGACAAGCTTACTATGCTTCTTTTACCACATAAAACTTATATACTTCCCCTTATCCAACTGTCTATGGAGGTGTAAGATTGTCCCAATCACAATGACATGTCTATACATTATTTTATTTTTAATTTTTTTATACAAGCTATTTTAGCAGCATTTTGTGCACGTCTAATCCTCTATTAAACTCGCACTAGTGAAAAATATAAAACAAAATATTTCTAAGAATATAAAATGACCAAAATACCCTTAACATTTTAAGTGGTATTTTAGTCATTATATTTTATTGCAAAATTATTTTTAATATTTTTTTATAGGTGCGCCCCAATGAGAAGATGACATGTATCAAATTTCATATTCATACAATTTGTATAAAAAAAACTAAAATAAAATACTTTGAGATGTCGGATCTAAGATCAAACGGTGAGTGACTCTCTTGATCAAAATTGGACGGCTGGATGGTAGGGGAAGCATAGATCTTCTATGCTATAGGGGAACTATAGAAACCTTTCCGTAATTAATATAGATCGTCTATTTTAGTGAGATGCTTAGATCAAGGTCTTAGAATGAATTTTTTCCTTTTCAAAATTTTTAAATAGCTTTATTACTATTAGATTAATAATGTTAAAAAAGAAATGATTAATTTTAAACTCGTAAAGGTCTAGATCTTGAAATTCACCAGATGGATGGTCTTTATTGTTGGAGAGGTCTCATTTTGACCACATTTAAAGTGCAAATTGAATTTTATTTTTTTAAAAGCAATTATTAGGATGAAGGGATCATGTGTTAAAATACAAATACTTTCTAATGGAAGAAACAAGGTTGCTCTCTCTCTCACGCACACAAATGTGGCTGCCTACTAATTTCCATTTTGACCAATATGTGCACGATAGGACGTATAAAAATTAGCAAATTACAATTTGCGAATTCTATGTTACTTGAAAAAAAAAAAAAAAGTCGGGTCTGTCTCCCACCTCCCTCTCAATCCCTTCCACACAAGAAAACACACCACTATTGTGCTTCTCTTTCTCTCTCTCTCTCTACTAAAAAACACACACCCCCACATGACACATTTGTAGTGTGCGTGTTTTATTGATTTTTTTTAAGGTCATGTTTGGTTGGTGCATAAATATTTTTTAAAAAACATATTTACATAAGTAAACACTTTTGCAAGAAAAACTTTTGTAAACTTTCTTTTCCCATGTTTGTTAACACGTAAAAAAGTATTGTGCACTAAATTTCATATGTTTGGTAACTTATCTAGTATTTAAATATATTTTTATAAATATGTTAAATCTATACATGCATTTAAAGGGCTAAAAACCAATAAGAAACTACAAAATTTGGGAAGAAAGAAACTTAAAGACTAAGCCACTAGTTTTATGCAAGTAATTGGATTGCTTTTTGACTTTGTTTTGCTTTGCATGAATATGGTTGGTTTCATGGAGCATCTGAGACCTTCACTCCTTTTCCCCAATGTCCATTCACCATCAACTATTGTAAGACACAAATTTTGCATGGCCCAGGCTTGCACGCACCTCAAGTTAGAGAGAGAAAGAGGAGAGAGAAGCCGAGAGAAAAGTTTCATGGCCCACATTTACAAACACTGTCAAGAGAGAGAGAGAGAGAGGTCTTCTCTATATAAAGCCATTGTAGGAGACTCAATACCCTTCAAACACAGTAGACTTATGAACATTTTCAATTTAACTTCTCACTCTACAGAGCAAAACCAGAGATACAATCCCCTTTAACTCTCCATTTTCACACTCTTCCTCAGCTTCCATTGAAAAACTAGGCATCCAACTCTCTCTCTATCTAAAATACAGAGCCCCCAACTCTCTCTCTCTCTCTCTCTCAAGCTATCTCTCTCACTCTAGAATCAAAAGATGGCACCGATTGCAGAAACATTTCCAAATGGATACCCAAGTAAGACCATGATCACCACCCTGAACCCTTACAACAAAACCCCAACCATCAAACCAAAAGAGATGAGTGAGAAAACCAGTCAGAAAAAGAATAGTTTTCGCAGACCTCAAAAGCTCTCTGTAGAGGGATTACAACGAGCAGTCTCTGACCTCTCTCTAGAACTCAGCCGAGAACCCATCGAAGAAATGAAGCTTCCTACGATTTCCGAAGTTGAAAACGCAGTGTGCGAATGCTGCGGCCTCTCTGAAGAATACACCACAGATTACATGAAGCAAGTTAGAGAGAGGTTTTGTGGGAAATGGGTTTGTGGGCTTTGTGCTGAAGCTGTGAAAGAGGAGCTTCAAAGGCTTGGAGAAGTTTCTCCCACTAAAAAAGAAGAGGTTTCTTTCACTAAAGAGAAGGTTGAAGAAGCACTGAGTGTTCACATGGCGGTTTGTGTGAGATTTAGCAGAATTGGTAGGACTAATCCTGCACTTTTTTTGGCAGATGGGATGAGAGAGATTTTGAAGAGAGGACAGAGGACAAAGTCTAATAGCCCAAGAGATAGGCAACAGGGTAAGAGATCAGGTGGGATAACTCGTAGCACCAGTTGCATTCCTGTAATTGCTAGAGAGAGAAACAATGATTCTTCAGGTGGCCATGACTGTGTGTGAGGGTTTCTCTCTCAAGGCCTCGCTTCAATTCTAGAGAGAGAAACTGGGCCTAGCAAGTTTCATTGAAGGTGATCTTGGTGGAAGGAGTTTTGGGGTGGCTTTTGTTCACAACGGTCGTTATATTGTTCACAAACCGTTGCTTTTTGTCACCATGTTGATCAGTGCTAACATTTCCCTTTTTTTCTTTCTCTTCTCTCTCTATCTATCTCAATATGTTTAGGGCTAACATTTCTCTTCTTGTTTAGCCATTATCATCTCTCTCTCTCTCTCTCTATTATTTTGTGTTGATTGTTTGGTGGGTAGTCTTTGTATTTGCATGGATTTTGGTTTTTTTTGGGTCTGAGAAGTTCGGAGCCTTTTGTTTTTGACAAATTCATGCAACTGGCAGCCCTTTTTTTTTTATCTTGCTTGTCTTCGACTTTCTTATAAATAAATTTTGTTGGACTTATATATGAACTTTCTGACAAAGCTTGTTTGATCTGATTGGCTCTTTATATTTTTTTTTTGGTTTTTTGCGTGTTATTGCTCTCTCTCTCTCTTTGTCTCACTCTATTTATACAGACAATGAAAAGGTTTACATTTATGGTGTCACCAAAGGTGTACATAAAAAATCTATTGGATTGGAAAAAGTTGATAAAAAATCTATCGGAAAAAGTTGTCTTCGTGATAGAAAATCCTCTTATTGATCATCTCAACCTTGAGATATATAGATATAAAAGAAAAATAAAAATACAGTTTGCATACAGATGCATTCGTAGATGTAGAGGTAACGTGCACCTTCAAATTTTATCATGATATATAATTTTGATGTAAAATGTTCTTAGGATTGTCTCAAAATCTATTTTTATATCTAATTATAAAATTTTAAATTTAAAAAATAGTTGAAATCAAGTAGATCATAAACATATGAAAATCTTGAAAATGGACGGTGTAGATAATATGTTGTAAAATGCACTATTTCTGATACTTAAATTTTTTTTATTTTTTGTAGTCATATATCTCGATGTCGAAATGATCAATCAAAGGATTGTTCAACATTAAAACTACCTTTTTCAATGGATTTTTGAGGGGCATCCGTAGTTCTACATGATAAGGTAGCATCCTTGTATATACTTTTTCCAAAAATAATTTTAAGATTTAAAAATATCGCATCTTGTAGTACATTATCTAGACCATCTATTTTCAAGGTTTACAAGTATTTATAGATATGATCCATTTGCAGGCTTTAAATATCATAAATAGAAATATAAGTAGATTTTAATGTCGTCCTAAGATTTTCAGCGCTGGAACTGCATCTTCAAGTGCAGTTTAAATATACCTTACTTTGATTGCTTTAAGATGAACACCACTTGCGTCAAGCCTCTAATCTGAATCCATATTTTTCTAATGCATGCAAATTTCTACCCTCTTTAGATGGGCCACTAACATGCTTGTTTAGTGTTTCCTCTGTAAAATAAAAAACAGAAGGAAAAAAACGAAAAAAATGCGGTTAATCCTCTTCAAAAATGCAGTTTCAATGCCAAAATTCGTTTTATTAGCGTAAAATTATTCCGGCTCCTAATTCATCTACCCAACTAGCTAGGATAATGTTCAGATGATGATGATGATGGTACTACTATTCAAGTGAAACTAATAGAAATGACAATAGCATCTCAGAAGAAATGATTCCACTTAAAGCATCCATTAGGAAGTGTGAGTTAGTTCAACTTGAAAGCTAAAAAAAGACAAGGGAAAAGTCAAATTGACATGGTTGGAAGGTGAAAAGATATGTGGATTTATAGCTTCACTGAAAGTATGACCTTTGAAAAAGCGGAATGTTAGATTATGATTCGTGTAACCGATCCCAAATAGTTGAAAAAAAACAACGATGATGATAATAATAATCATGCAAAAAATCATGATCCTCAGGAGAAATGAAGGATAAAAACTCATATATGGAAATGTAGAATACAAATGTCCAATCGGCATTGAGCTTAAGCAAATGGAGTGAAATTTTTCATTTTTCTCAATCCTAATCTATAGTCTAGACAAGGCCTTCTCTTTTCATTGACTCGCCCTTTGGCACCATTACTGCTATAAAAAAAAAGGGTGGCAGTGCAAATCCAAACTTTAAATAGCTAGGGGGCCATTACCTCCCTATTTTTTGGTGGTCCCATGGCTTTTCTCATACTCAAGTTTTCTTTGTATTTAAGCTCCCCTCCTAGAAACTTGACAATATTCACCTTCTCTGCAATCTTTTCAGCCTCGCCCTCCTTTTCTTCAGATAAATTATGCCCCTTCTAATAATGAAAGTTTATGAAATAATAATATAAAAGAAGGGTGTGCCTCGCCCTCCTTTTCTTCAGATAAATTATGCCCCTTCTAATAATGAAAGTTTATGAAATAATAATATAAAAGAGGGGTGTGGTTTCCATAAGGTTCCAACCTTAAACAATCTTATTAAGATGCACCTTCAAATTTGATCATAACATATAATTTTGATGCAAAATATTCTTAGGATTATCTCAAAATCTATTTTCATATCTAATTATAAAATTTTAAACTTCAAAAATGGTTACAAGTAGATCTATAAACGTATAAAGTTTTTTAAAATGGACGGTCTAGATAATGTGTTGTAAGATGCATTATTTTTTGAACTCAAAATCCTTTTTTATTTCTTTATCATGCATCTCGATGTCGAGATGCTCAATTAGAGGGTTTTTCAATATTAAAACAACCTTTTTCAATGAATTTTTTAGATGCATCCGTAGTTCTACATTTTAAAGTTGCAACCTTTATATAAACTTTTTCCATATAAGAAAGAGCGATCTTTGTCCATTTTAATCAATTTCAAAAGTATTGTACATTGATTTCTCTTTGATCTTTCTTCTACATTTGCATTTCCATATATCCTCCTTCTCTCTCTCTCTCAAAAAAAAAAAAACAGGCACAAGTGATGTTATTGTAATGCCATGTTTGAATTTGGACCCCTTAAACCAGGTTAACTTTGGCATGGGACAGACTTTATGACTAATCCCTGGGATAAGGGAGTATTTTATTCAATTCTGCTTATAAAAATGAAGCTAGGTCCCAAGTTTCATATTACGATCATTTTTAAATAAAAATGAAAAATGAAAAATGAAATTGATTTTTGGCCCTTTTATGAGGCTGGTTCAATCTAAATGATTAAAAGGTGCTTGTGCACTTTTCAAGGGTCCACAGCATGTGGACCCAATACCAACACTATTTGAATTGCATAAATACTATATATTTTGCAAACATAAAAACTATATATTTTGTGCGATTGAAACCCTTCACAAATAGATATGAATTCTTTTATTTTGTTGTTATAAGCAACTAGCAAAGTGTATTAGAAACCAGTCCCATGTACGGAAAACCTTTCAACTTGAGTATTGATGTGTTACTCTGATGTGTTTCAGAAATCTGTATGACTATTTTGTGAAAGTGCATTCTTGTTATATTGAAATTGAATTTTTCTTGATCAGGCATAGTGCTTTTAATATTTTTGACTATGGAGTTGAGATCATCCATATTTTAGAGATCTTGGGTAGAGGTTGTTTTGTTAATATACCCCTGAGGCTTATCAGTTTGAAAATATGAAGTTTGTTCATTGAATTCAATATTTTGTGAAACATACATTCGTTTGGTTTTTCAGTCATAGCATTTGTAACCTTTTTTTGAAAATAAGGAGTTTTGCTAAGCAAGTTTGTCTTTATAATTTTATGATAAATGCACAAAGCATTCACAACTAAATATATTCAAATGATGAATAGTAGGAGGATAACCATGCAATATTTCATAGGGGCTTCTATTATCCAATATTTTAGTCGGCAGACGATTTATAAGATGATAAGCAGTAAGAATGTCCTTAGACCAATATGATATAGGAACATTCATTTCAAAAAGTAAGGCACATGTTACTTCAAATAGATGCTTGTTTTTTCTCTCAGCAATTCCATTTTGCTGAGGAGTTTCTGCACATGACATCTGGTGAATGATCCCATGATCAATCATATATGAAGAAAATAATCTATTTGTATATTCTTCTATGATCAGTTCTATAAATTTTCACCTTAGCATCAAATTGGTTTTTGATCATGGCATGGAATTCCTTAAAGGCAATGAAGGCATCACTCTTGAATTTCAATAGATAAATCCGAATATAACGATATCTATCATTGATAATGGAGATCACATATCTAAAACGAGATGAAGAATCAACTGTAGCAGGTCCCCATAAGTCTAAATGAACAATATCAAAGTTATTATTGTTGATTCTATCAGAATTTTGAAATGGAAATGTGATCTGTTTGGCATAATGACAGACATCACAAGATGAAAAGAACACATCAATACTAAAGACCACCTGCTTCAGAAGTCTATTAGATGGATGTCCCAATTTGCAATGCCATGTGTAGTCCTTAGATTACTTTTTTCTTACAAAAAACGTTTTAGAGGTTTGATCCAACAGGTACAACCCATGTGATTGGTTACCTTCACCAATATTCTTCCTCGAGACCTGATCTTGAAAAACAACATTGTCAGCAGATAAAATAGCCAGTCAATTAGAGGCACAATAGATTCGAAGGGAAAGAATGCATATATAAAACTCTACATGGCTTATTCTTAGAAAAAAAGATTAATATTTCCTACTCCACAGAGTGATACAATAGTCCCTTTGGCCAATGACACAAGACTCCTTAAGACATGTGTTCATACCCTTCGAGTCTTTCACAATGGCCAGTCATATGATTTATATATCCAATATCAACGATTCAGGTATGACAATTAGTAGAAGATAGGTGACCAAAAAGATTAAGTTGTGTAGTATGTGGTATCTCAAAAGAGGAAGTAATGTTCGCCTTTCCAATTTATTGAAGCAAACTCTTTTAGCTTGTCAACAGAGAGGAACATCTCACTTTGAGCAACTTGAGCAGCAGGTTTCCCCTATCAGGAAGTTTTCCAAGGAGATCCCAACACCATTCTTTAGTGTGTCCCAACTTTTTGCAATGAGTGCACCTAGGTCGTTCATGACCACGACCACAACTAGTATTCTCAAATTTGTCATCGGTACAGTTAATTTTTTCAATTTGTTGAGATTCAATACAAAAGGCTGATTTGTCAATGTTGTCGTTGGGATCCTCCTTTTTAATGGCAAGGTTATGCCCAGTTTTTTCTTTCTGAATAGTGGCGCATGCAAGAGTATAGGAAGGAAATTCAAATGGCATTAGGATTTGGCTTCTAACGGCCCCATACTTTGGAGCAATGCCTACTAACATAGCAAAGGTTTTATCTTATTCGACTTCTCTTATTCTGTTATTTTATCACTAGTTGGGAGTGTAATGGGACAAATCATCCCACATGCCTCCAAGAATTCCAATGTACCTACATCCCTTCACCAAATCATTTTTTAATTGAGTTTATAAGCCACGAACTGACAAGGTTGTCCTCAGATTCCCACACTTCATAGGCAGGATCATCGGGTTTTGGAGCTGGTTTTCTTCATTCACAAATTCTAACTTACATTTGCAGTTGAGATACGTGGTTGCTGCTGTAGACTAAATTTCATAATTAGTTCGATTAAGAAGCTTGACAGTAATTTTAATATTTTGGTTGTTGCCCTCATGCACTATAATGTTTGAACCATAATTTTTAATGCCCATTTAAAAGAAAAGATGCTTGGAGATTACCTAATTGTAGGCAAAGGAAATTGGCGGAAATTGATTACCCCAATTATCTCCAAAAATAATTTTTCGATAAAATATAATGACCAAAAAAAATATAATGACCAAAAAATATAATGACCAAAAAAAATTAAAAATAAAATAACCTAGAGACATGACATTGTGATTGGGTCAATCTTAGCCCTCCATTCAGAATGGACGGTTGAATAAGGGGGAGGATAGAACTTCTATGCTGTAGGGAAAGCATAGAAGACTTGTCCTGCAATAAAAAGTCCGTGGGTTTTTCTTTTGGATACGAGTTAACTTGTAGAAAGAAAATTATCTTTAGTTTTAGAAAGTATATTTTGTTTCTTATTTTAAAAGGATGGATATCTTTTTGAGTTAGATGGAAATAATCAATATTTTGGTTAATTATTATTTTTGGGTTTTTGGTAGAAAGCATGGGGGTTATCTTTTGGGGATGGCACGTGTTATTTATAGTGTATGTGTTAGTGGGTGAGATTAAGAGATAATAGGTATAATTTGTTAGTCGGTAAGTTAAATATTTTGGTTATAAATGGTAAGGTATTAATTACTAGTTTCCTATTTATAAAGAGGTTATTTCCTTAGCTCATAGGAATAGATTAGGTTGTTAATAATAGATAAAGTTAGATTATGAAGGTTTATTATGTGTTTTTGGAATAGGACGTGCCGGTAGGAATTGAGTCAATAGTATTTTGTTAGTTATCTTATTTTAGTAGTTACCTTCAGTGTGGTGAATGTAAACTCCTATAAAAGGAGCACGTGAATTGTAATTGGGAGATGAAATTTAATGAATGAAAACAAGTGATCTTTGAGACCGTGTAGAGACAGTGTTTTTTTTTTTTTTTTTACTTATGGGTTTGTGTCAAAATGCTCGTATCCGCACATTTTGTTCTTTTTTCTTGTGATTTCCTTCAGGGTTTTTATTCTCTTTCTTAAACGCAGATAATTTCATGGGTGTTGTTTGCCAATAAATTTTATTTTCATGTCTAAGCTGTGCACGATTTCGGAAAAGAGAGAAAGAAAGAAGAGACCTTGGAATTGCATTAAATATCAAGATCTTAATGAGATCAAAGGCGTGTGACATGTCACAAGTTGGATGTCTGATGATTGCCACATTCCCATGAATATGAGAGCACACAACTTTATCCCATGAACCCTGACTTGTTCATTGCAACAATCTGATCCCATGAACCCTGACTTCTTCATTGTGACAATTTGATCCCTTGAACTCTTGAGTTGTTCAATGTTTATTTTGATTTGTTCCATGTAGCCACACCACTCCAATCTGGCCATGCACTTGTAGATCACAGCCACTAATGCCCGTCAACTCCACCAAGGCCAAGACAACTATGTCAACACAAAAGGGATGCCTCATCCTCAAGAACCTAAATGATAAATCTCTCTCTCTTATCATCTAAAAGAGGCTTGAAAAAATGAGTCTCTCTAAGCCTCTTATCCTCTAAAAGAGGCTCGAAAAAAAATGAAAAATATCACCTCTCTCTCTCATCTTTAAAACTGAATCTCTCTCATCTCTCTCTCTCTCTCCTCCTGTCCTGTGAGCCTCTAATCCTCTTAAGGCGCTCTCTAACTCTTGGACATTGACATATCATGCCAAAAGCAAACTTTCGGCGTCACGTAACTGCAACTGTAAACGTCCTATCCATTAAAACTAACCTTTGCCCACTGCTTAAAACTCCAAGCCTCTCAATTCTTCAAAAGTGGGGCCATCTCTCTCTCTCTCTCTCTCTCTC